TTTGGAATGGGGGCCGGTTGATGAAAATGATCCAAAGCAAGGGGCCGGGAAAAAGATGGCTTGAAATATGAGCAATCATATTAAGAGCTTCAGATACAGTAAATACTACAAGAGCGAAGTGGAGTGCATATATTGTGTTTCATTAAATCAAACAACATAGCCCCAAAGCCTTTAGAGATCTAAATGGCAAGTTCAGAACTCACTAGGCCTACATGTGAAGCTAATCTAACCGTCAACATCATTTCATTTGATTTAGGAGAAATTATCTAATCATTCACGCAGAGATGCAATCAATGTTGTCAGTTGTCACTACAGTAGCTAGTAGGTGGGTTCGAAACCCGAGCCCGCCGAAGTTTTCAGACAATGTCATCCCCCCATCTCTACATTTAACACCCTCTCTGGAATCAAGGCACTATAATTTAAAGGTCCCATGTCATGGCCATTTCCACTGATCATACTTCCATTGTTGAGGTCTACTAGAATAGATTTATATTGTGCAATTTTCCAAACTCACATTGGTTTCTCATACAGCATCTCTAAACTACGTGTATTCACTGAATTTCACTCTCTGCCTTTAACGGCTCGTTGTAGCTCCAGTAGCTCCAACCCCCACCCTCCCTGTGAGCACAGTGTGCTCTGATTGGTCGGGACGTTGTGAATCGCGCTGAGCTCCGTGGAGGTGTTGTTTCCTTGTTTAGCGACACACAGCCAAACTCACCCTGAGCACACACAAAGACACAGCTGAAGTAAAAACAATAAGTGTGGCTTGATATAAGAAAAAGGAGAAAAAAAAGGTTGATAAACGCTGTGAGAATGGGTCTGCAGAGAGAATTTCGCCGCGATCCCAACTGTCTGTTATCAGCCTGCAGCCAGGGAGGAGAGATCAGCAGAGCTGCCTGCACTGAGTGTGTGTGTGAGGAAGTCCGTGGATTGGTCAATTTGGACCAATCAGCGGGGGCTTAACGTAACGGCTCCGCGGATTGGTCCATTTCGTTCCGGGTACGGTTGACATCATGCGTACCTGGAAGAATCAAATGGACAATGACGTATCTCCAACGAGACGTTTTGGGGAGGTACACTCTGTGTTAGAGTTTTACTCGCTACAGGGTGTACTTTGAGGGTTTGTGACTCTGCAGACCGTTTACATGCAGAAAAACCTTCATAACACAGAAGGGGACGGGTAATAACCAGAAAAGCATGACATGGGACCTTTAACATTATACTCAAAGGGCCGGTAAATATCACCCCAGGGCCGGATGTGTCCCGCGGGCCGCCAGTTGAATAGCCCTGCTGTAGGACAACTAAGAACAGATGGCAGCACCTAGATTACTTTATACTATGTTCTCTTCCCTGTAGTTACTTTTCTAGGGATTGTTTTGAACCATTTGTCTCTCACATAATATGTCCTTAATGAAAGGATTCACCTGTTATTAGCACAACACCTCCCCTCATCCACACACCGTGTTTGAATGCTTATAACGCATGTATAGACTCTAATGTCATCACTTTGTTTTTATTGTACTTCAGAAGCTTTTCCGGACCTCCATGCTCTTCCACTTCATCAACGTGCTAGTGCAGGTACTTCTCCATAAAAGTCACGACCTTCTTCAGGAGGAAATCACCGTGGCTATTTACAACATGGCCTGTGTCGACTTCGATGCCTTCTTCTCGGCCTTCATGCCAGAGTTCCTCAACGGCTGCCAGGGTGTGGACGCCAGCCAGCGCTCTGTTCTCGCACGCAACTTCAAGCTTGAACGGGTGAGAATAACAGTCGTATTAATATTTGTTTTAACCCACTGGTAGGTTTATTATGAGGCAAGACAGCTTTGACAACATGGCACATGGAGAGGCATACAGTAGCATTTATACAACCTTTGTCTCTCACTGAGGCTTATTCTGTCTCCCTGTTTCTGACTGGCTCATGATAGCCATCTCAAATACTTCTAATCTTTAATCTGTTGTATCGCTTGTGAGAATCTTCTTGGCTATAGTATCACAAAAGTGTCACTTTGTTTCTTGGTATTCCCGTACAGGTATTGGTTTGTTTGTCCTGTAGTCGTGGGAGTAGTTGCTGCTTTCAATGTGGTTTTCTGCCCTCTAAACAACTCCTGTCTAGATTGACATGTATTTCCTCTTTTCTCTCCTCTTTCCAGGACTTGCCTTCGTTCACTCAAAGCGTGCAGCGGCTGGTGAACGACCTGCGCTACTACAGACTGTGTAACAGTAGCCTGCCCACTGGCACCATCAAGCTATAGCACAATGACTGATCCACCACTCCACACATCAACTATGATCTTCAAGGACTGCCTGTGCTGACCACTTTGCTGACTCCTTCTCCAATGCAGCTTTGCTCCGCCCTCTCAGAGTGAGGGGGAGGAGCCACACGCAGCGTGTTGTTGAGTAATCAGAGGTTGAAGATGCTGCTGATGTTTCTCTCTGATCTCTACTTTAGTAGGTTGGCGATGTCTTTTTTCTTTCTTTTTATTTTTTTTTAAAGCAGCGCCCTCCTCATGGTTTGCCAATGATAATTTGGCAAGAAATGTAAACCTGGTCGGCAGTTGGCTTCAGTCCAGACCCCGGAGCAGTCTGAGCAAGGCCTTCTCTCCCACGCCCCGCGACAAAGCCGGCTGGGACTGAGCACTTTCGACTCATTTTGAGTTTTTTAAAAATGTCTGCTTATTCATTATGCCTTCGATTTTTTTCATCTCCAAAGGAGACGGACTCTCAACTTAAGATATTTCATATCATTCCATTCTGAAAAAGAGAATCTGCTTGATTAATAAAGTGCTTTTTTAGTAAAACTCAGGTATTGATTGATTTGCAAGTGTTGAAACAGTACTGATGGTGAGAATAATGGTTGTATTAAGAGATTCAAGACTTTCCTGTATGTTTACAATGTTTTGCTTTACACTTGTCAATGGAATCTTTTGAAAATCCCTGTTGACTTAACATTTTCCAACTACTGATTATCTTTTCCACTTTAATTTTAGGTGTACCTAAAAAATTAAGAACACTGCTCAAATATTCAGAAAGTTAGTTCTGGTCATGTGACTTGATCCATACAAGGGGATATGAACTAATGGATTTATTTGTGTTCCCTTTAAACCCCATTAGTTATCCTCCCGGAGCCCTTTTTATTTTTAAGGGGTGACAGGGTATATTTAGGCAGAGAGGTCAGGTCAGCAGTTTGTGCCATCACTGTATATAAAGGCACGTTGTCTAAACGTTGAGACTGAAGATTATTTCTTGAAGCTTTGCACTGTTTGTCCTTTTTTTTCACCATTCAAACTCAGGATGACTATAATTATTGGGAATTAAAAATGTTTAATGTTTTCTGTGGCTTTAAAGCAGTGGTGGAATGTAACTAAGTACATTCACTTGAGTGAAAATATGGAGGTACTTACTGGAGTATTTTCACATTATGCTACACAACTATTTCTGAGTTTTGAAATGCATTATTTGAAATGTAGAATCCGTCAGATTTTGAGTTTTAAAAAAAGTTTTTTTTTTATTGGTTTCTTGCAAGTCAATCAAACTAAATAAAAAGCTTAACGTTTAGCTTTAAAGGTTTAAATAATGCTGTAGATGTAGACATCGAAGTTGTTTATTTTTAAATCAAATGAGCGACATTTGAACAAGCGTTTTTTTCTTTTTCTTGACATAAATAAGATAAACAGTAGTCTCACGTCTGGCATCACTGGAGTTAATGTGTTCCTGTGAGAGCGACTGTCAGGGGGAGGCTGGCGGACAGGGGGGTGACTCGTGAGTTTTTGATTGAGGAGAGTTGACTTTTCTCTCTCTGGAGATTGACAAAACATGATCATGTTGCAGCGCTGCATTTTTAAGAGACTTCTCCAACAACGGTGTTGTTTAGGGAATCAAGATGTCACTAAAAGTCTGCTGTCAGCTGGGTTCGCCTCTGCGCTGCTCGGGGGACACAGAGCTGCTGGGAGCAAATCAGGTAAGTCACTGAATGTATATCATCTGGTCAGTAAGACTGTCAATTTAGCTTCTTTTTTTTACATTTTTCTCTTGTTTTACTCTCTTAGAATGTGCAACCGTTTCTCTTTTTTTGCACGGGATCTTTCAGTATTTAATAAATTGACTGATTTACTCCAAAAACCTCTGTTGTGAGAATGTAACAATGACTTCAACATCATTTAAATAATAGATCATTGTTAACATGAGTGGCATCGAGTCAAACAGACTTTAACCCCGAGTTGCATCTGTTATTTGATCCAAACTTACCGGTGGTGTTGAAATCTGAAACTGATTCGCTTGCCAACCTCAAGGGGTCATGACCTGGAATTAGGTTTTATCCGCAGTGTGCTACACAAAATCACCTACAGTGTGTGTAAAAGCACCTACACCTGTGCGTATTCTGGGTAAATCCCAAAGTGCAGTACGGTGAAGTCCAGGCCCTGCGACACCCGAAACCTTTCTCAGAAGGAAACCTCGCTCATGTTTAGTTGCTCTCGTGGAGGGTCACGTCCACGTCACTTGTGTAATTGATCGCATGCAGTCATTCATTCGCTACGTGGTGTTGCAGTGTTTTTCAACCAACCATCTAAGAAACATTCAATAATATCTTATTTCCTTCGGCTTACATGGAGAAGTTTGTGTGTGTGTTTGTTTAGTGAATTTTACCCTGATAACTTTGAGTAAATATGTGTGTCCTTCCCTGTCAGTTTCTAATATTGGCAGTGTGTGAGGGTCAGTGGGCTAAGGATGACTGTACTAAAGTTCAATTTTGAGGTTGTTTTCCAGTGCTTTACTTTGGTAATCACAATTGATGGTTCTTTTTACTTCTGCTCCACTAGTTTTTGGGGGTGAATGTTACTTTTTACTACTTTTATGTATCATCTTTGTAGTTCCTATAGTTACTTTGTATATTCATAATGTTAATCTAAATCTAAATTAATCAATGTATACATTACGGTATATTGTTAAAAGTCCCAGGCTTTGCCCAAATAGCAACACATACTCATTAATGAATCAACAATTTAGATATTTACTGTGTTGGTATCATTATTTCATTTATCACAGCTGGTAAAGGTGGTCCTTAATTTAAATAATTGATATACTGCAGCAAGATATTCTAAACTATAAAATTAGGTGAATGTTTATGTATTAGTAAATGTTTTATATTAGCTAATTATCTCTGTAGTATCTTGAAACTACAACATATTTGCAGTTGAGTAAAAAGTAAAATATTGGCTTCCAAAATGTGGAGTAGAAGTATACAGTAGCATGAATATAAATGTTCAGTTAAAGGACAAATACCAAGACATTTTACTTAAATAAAACAAGAGTAAGAGTAAGTGTGCTTTGTTACCTTCCACCACTGTGTACATAAGTATGATTTTAAACATAGGACTTTATAACTAGGTGGTAATCTTCTGTCTGTCCTCCAGGTGTTCCAGATGTGAGGGAGCGGACTCTTATAGCTGTGAAGCCAGATGGTGTTCAGCGCCGTCTTGTTGGACAGATAATGCAGCGGTTTGAGCAGCGGGGCTTCAAGCTGGTTGGCCTGAAAATGTTGCAGGTATATTAATGTGACATTAATGTTTTTGCCTTTATTGTTTTACATTTCTAACTGTAGCTGTCTGTGTTGTGAAGGTATCTGATGATCTGCTGTCTCAGCACTACTGTGAACTGAGGACTAAGCCTTTCTACCCCAGGCTGCAGGAATACATGACCTCCGGACCTGTTGTTGTCATGGTGAGGGCTCTTCTGTTTGCTTTCCTGTGGGATACAGCTGTATTTTACAATATTTCCGTTTCTTTATTGAGTCATTTCCTACTTTTCATTAGATGACATACTTTAAAGGTGTGTTTTAGGTCATGATTGATAGAAAATCATGTTTATGTGTGCACAATATTTCTTGTTTTAGTGTTGAATATCTCGTTGTGTGTGCATGTTGTTTTATTGTTGTTTAGGTGTGGGAAGGGTACAAAGTAGTCCAGGCATCGCGTACAATGGTGGGTCATACTAACCCATTGGAGGCCCAGGCGGGCACTATCAGAGGAGATTTCAGCTCCCATATCAGCAGGTAACGATTGATAAGCAATTGATCTCATTATTCTACTTCAAGTTGCTTTTAGAATTGATTTTCCTCATTACTTACAAAGCCCTGAGAGGCCTCCACCCAAGTTGTTTTGTATCAAACCTCTTATTGTCCCTTACTGCACCCTGGAATCTTTAGGTGTTATCACTCCTGGTGGTTAAAAGGTCCAGATACAATCACAAAAGGAAAAAGAGCTATCGCATTCTGGGATCCTAATTGTTTCGAGTGACCTATCTGAAGAGATTAGGGCTGTGTGGTCTTTAAAATCTCTTTTTAAATACCTACTTTTTTCAAATTGTTTTTCTGTGATTTTATTTTCACTTTATAACATTTGTATTGGTTTGACTTTGTTGCATATTCTTTGTGTATTAGCACAACACCTTCTTGTAACTGTCAAATATTTGATATTAAGTGTATTGGGCACTTTGAGCACCAGGAAAAGCGCTTTATAAATGTAATGTATTATTATTATTATTATTATTATTGTTTGTTCATAAAAGAAACAGCTTTATGAGACTGCCTTCTCCCAGATTTTGCATGTGATTTCCTCTGTCTTTGAGGTAGAATAATGACATGTGTTCATTTAAAGGAACGTGGTTCATGCCAGTGATTCTCCTGAGGGGGCACAGAGGGAGATCCAGCTGTGGTTTCAGAAAAAGGAGCTTCTGAACTGGGATTGCTTTGACCAGACCCTGACCTGTGAGGTGTAAAGACGCCGAGAGCCGGATGAAAATCAGTAATGCTACGTCCTCTCCTGCTGCTCAGGTCTGCCGCCTGTGATTGAAAAAATGAGGCATATCCAGTGTTACTAAGATTTAATTTACCTCAGGAAGTGCACTTACAGTCACAAAAAAATGTGTTGAAACATGTGTGGCTGAGGTTTTTTACTTATCAAGCTTTCATTAAACAGTAATCGTAGGGAGAGATGTGTGTATGTAATCGTCATTCTGTCTCTTGCAGCAGATGGAAATGTTATCAATATGTGGGAAACATTGAGGTGCAGTGTGGAGCCATGCTCTTAACTTAATTAAACTTGAAGTTATTAGTGGCTAAATATGTGATATATAACTGAAAAGTATTGTGTGTGGCAGGTTTTACATCAACAATCAATCTAAAGAAATCAAATGTATGTAAAAGTCAGATCTTATTTGACATGTTATTTTTCTTCCAAACTGTAAGGATATAAGATTGTTTTTCCTGTAGCTGTTGAATACCTGAGGCAGACTATTGCATTAACTTTTAAATAGCAGCCAGAGAAAAAAAACACCATTTCAAAACATTGAAGAAAATATTTGACGTATTTTAACAAAACCATAATGTTATAATAAATATGGGTGGTGGGGTAGGTAAGTTTGAGAAACCGGCTCGAGATACAATTTTTGTTATATTCCATGGAATGCTCTTAACATCCCGATAGCAATGAATATCTTAAGTGCTTTGACAAAAAACCCATAAAAAAATGTCATCTGTGGAAGCCGTGCTACTGTAAAAAGCACGACCAATCATCTGAGCCGGCCCGGCTAAAATAACTGGATGGCCTACCTGCCTGTCAGCCTTCCATCTGTGTACAAACTTATCTCGTGCCCTCATTGGTCATGTGCGTGTTGGGGGAGGGGCTCTGTAAGGAAGTGGCAGATTTCTTCCGGCTGTGTATTTTCAAATTCTAGCGCACTCGAGCTGGTTTCTCCAAAATGACCTACCCCACCTTTAATAAGGAAGTAAGTATAATAAGTTAAATGTAATGTACTTTTTTTGTTGTTTATTAAATATTTAGTAGTGTTGTTTGGTGAGTATTATCTCACCAAAAACGTTTTAGCTAAGTGATTACTTGAATTATGTCCTCAAATACTTAATGTTGATCGAGGACATTTGTGTATCGGAAATTGTGACGTAATCCTCCTACCTCAAGGAAAAAGATAAAATCAAATCATCTCTGTTTACATTTGACCTCAGGTGAATGTCAAATATGCTGGTTCTGTCAGTGTTTATCTGTACTGAAGCAACATGATGATTTACCTCCACCTGCTTTTATTAAACAATAAATGACTCAGAGGTTATACATGTCGACATCTTCAGCGCCACTTCTTTAATTCTTCTTCCAGCTGAAAACAACCACTTCTGTCTGTTACATTGCTGTGAAATATTATCTAAACTCCTCAAAAGAAGATTGTTTTGTTATTTAACACAATATGTAAAGAAAGGTTTCAATACATTCCTAGATAAAATACAAAAATACACATAATTAAAGTTTAATTTCAAGCCACTATGATGACAGTAATGTGTCCCTTATGTTACTGTGTGCTACCTTATGATCATGATATGCTCTGAATCTGAAGTCACAATGAAAAACAAATATTTAAAAACATTTGAGTCTCCTTAAAATATATTAGAAATAGTCATTAAATAATGTATTGAATGTTTAATCTTTCTGCAGATAGCTAAATTGTAAACACATATGGATGTGCAGGGAATAAAAACTGAATCAATCAAACATCTCACTTTTTTTAAAGTCATAAACCTTTTTTTTTCACATAACCTTTTTATATAACTATGGTAAGAAGAACATCTAAATTAGTCCCATTTTGAATCATGTTATTAGATGTAAGATAATAACACAGCTTGCTTTTGTTGAATCTGTAGCTCATGATAGACAGCATGTATATAAAACACCACTGTGCATCCAGCTGTGCAATCTTACAGTTCTCCATCGATGTTTGATACCACATCTGTCCGTTTGATACCACATCTGTCCCCTTAAACCACTCTCTCATTACAGGTTAATCCTCATCTTCTGCTTCTCCATCGCTGTCTCTAGTTCTGTGGATTTGCGCACATCCTGAGATGGACACAAGATAAAATGTGATTAAAAGAAAAGATATCCAGCAAACTTTATATTGACAGGTTTCAAAAGAAGCTTCTCAACTGTTTCAGCACATTCATTTAAAACCTACATTTGACAATGACTTCTGTTTTCAAATACCGATCCTATTCGGCCATATCTAAAATCAATGTTTGTGCAGCGGAGGCCAAATTGAAATACACCCCATATGACAAACATTATGAAATAACTTTGGTACCAGACCAAGAACAAAAAAGGCTCTGCTAAATCTACCTACCTGCAACTGTTGACTTGTCCGGTCTGTTGGAACTAGGATTAATTTCATCGTTTTTTAAAGTGAAAGGTAACTAATCTTAAGTCAATGTAGTTCAGTAACAATGCGTTTTATATTGAGATAAGTGTGCATAACATATGACGCAGGACAAATCAACCCACGCATATCCAAACAAACTGAACCAACACAAAAAGTGGACAAACCTCGAGTAGGGACTTCTGCACCATGATCTGGCTGTAGACTCTCACTCCCTCCTCTGATGACACGGTGCACAGCTCCTCCTTATTCAGGGAGAAAAGCTGCGCTCCGTTTAAAATGCCCAGAATCTGAACTGTCCTAAGAGAGGAGGAACGAATAAGAAAATCAGTGTTGTGAGAGCTTTCATTGTCAAAGTTCAGCTATAATCTGGATATAAGTTACTTTGGCATATAGAATAATTTAAGCAGTTATAACAATAAGATTCACTTCTTTATTATTTTGTTATCACTGCCCCCAACTGTTCTGAATGTCCTCCTATAGCTGACTCGGTTCACAGTTAAATGGCAACACACAAACATCGGCAGGGAGGAGGTTTTGACAGTAGAGGACGCTGTTGTGCAGTAAACTAAATCAAAGTGTGTTCCTGAAAAGCTACATGTACAATATAATGCAACAAACTGTGGAAACAACTTTGATTTAATTCTCTTAATTGATCTTAAAGCACCAAAGTGTCCAATACTGTACAAGAAAGCCAAAGCAGCCAGTCCACTTGACCAAAATCCACTTCGTATTTTAGATGTCCTGGTATAGTGAAGTCAATTACTTCCATGTATCTTTAGTGATACAATTCTGCATGGGATGATTGAGTTAGGCACACAGCCAGTCTTTAACAGGATGGTTTGTGATATTTCTTTAAAGTAATACCTAACCCCAAAATAACCTGTTGTATGTTAATAACTCAGCCTGTAAAAATTATTAAAGGAAACTTTTTTGCTAGCATGCATCTACTGTGAACTAACTAGCTATAATGTGCTGTAATCCACATCTCATTATCCAGTTGTGTGCCCTTCCCAAACACATGCAAATCAATCGACCCTTACTTTTCAATACACAAAACTATCTCAAGCTTTAAGATAACGCAGGGTGAGTAATGATCATTTTATCAGTAACTGCATCTTGGCCGTTAAACCTAACACATTACAAAGAACATAAAAAGCTTGTTAACAATTTAGTTTACATTTAGGACTAATGCACCAGCACAATAGGACTGGATGGATTTTGTAAAACAAATGTGCTTGCAGGTTTATTGCTGTTCTGAGTGTGTATCTTTTGTCTGAGCTCTAGTTTCCTCCACACTCACTGCTGACTGAAGCCCTTGGCGATGAGCCAGGCCTCCACCTCTGCGGCAGGTGAGTGGTAGTTCAGGGGGGTGGAGGAGTCCGCTGAGCGGGGGAGCGTCAGCGAACGGATAGGGCCTCGCTTCTCAGCTAACCTCTGCATGAGCTCGTCATTCATTAGCATCACTGCAAGTACAAATCACAAAACTTACTTAGGTACTTGTGGGTTATCTATTTTCAATCTAACCCTAACCCTCCTCTGAAAAAAACTAAAAGTGCGTATTTAGAGAGTCTGAAAAAAAAAAAAAGTGGTGACAGATAACCCACAAGTCCCCTTACTTGTAATGTCTAAGAAGCTCCTTTGATCCCATAGGTTTGTGAACTCTCTTATGTTTGTACACGTGATATGCCTTGTCTTATATGTGTGGTCTTGTTACCTCGGTCATGGTCTTCTCCCTGCATTGTTGTAGAGGGTAAAACCATGCTATGGGGTCTCATTGGGCTTGTAGGGGTGGGACTTGTCCCAGATGGGCTCGGTGCAGCATATGAGAAGTACTTTGTCCGAGGGGTAAGGGCTGTCTTCTGTTGTGGAAAAAGGAGTAATGAATAAAAACTGTGAGACAAAGAGCCACTGTGTTTGAAAACTCATGAGTGGTGTGTCTGTACCTTTGACTCTGAGCGTAACACTGGGCTGGCTCTGCCTTTGTGGTTCAGAGCAGACAGGGGCTCCAGGATGTTAAAGGGGACAAATCCGATCTGGTCAAAGCGATTCCGACACTTCCACCACCTCTTCGATGACTCGATGACCTGCGAGAAACATCTGTCAAGTTATATGATCCTTTCCAAGAATGTATCTACTTTCACGGCTGGGTCACTAACCCTTAGCGTCTAATTTTGGAAGTGTACCTCTAGTGTTTCTCCTTGCAGCACAGAGAGCTCACTGCTGTTTCTAGCCACGAAGTCATAGCTGCAGCAGAAATGCCTCTCCCCCTCTGGCGGGAGCCCATTTTCTTCTCTGAAACATAAAAGATTTTCCAACGTTTGTAATCAAATAAGAGAGGCCCTATTATTCTCCTGGGGATTTCCCCTTTCCTGTAGTGTGTTATGTAGGTTTGTGAGCATCTACATTATCTGCAAAGGCTAGAAATCCCACAGCTCAGCTTCAAGTGGATATCAGTAATCTATTTTGTGTATCATTGAGTTAACCTCTACTTTATTGTTTACACGCTGGTTTTATTAGGCAATAAACTGTTCAATTAATCCGTAGTGCTTTCTTATGCACTCAAAGACACTCTACAAAAACATTTCATGCTGCAAACAGAAGTTTCTGAATGAGGTAATTTAGAGGAAAAACAAAGAAACTTCAGAAAGCAGTATGACAGGGATGAGTTATGGCATGGGGGGAATGGACAGGAACAGGGGGAAAAAAGCATTTTGAAGATGTTGGTTTTGAGTTTTTTGTTCTATGTGCTAATACTTACCCGTCATAACTGTATTCGCCCGGGCCCTCCGCTGTCTGCCGAGCTCTCTCCTGCAGACTGTGCCCTCCCCTACTTTCACTGAAAGCATCTTGCTTGTGCTGCGACTCGATGGGATCCTTGAATAACTGGCCGGTCGAGTCATAGGCCTGAGGCTGCCACCCATCCAGGAACACAGGTGAGTACGGAGGAACGGACACGCTGAGGTGTGAACTGGGGAAAAGGGTGAGAAGACTCTTGTTAAAGCAACACTCTCAAACTAAGATTTATAAACATACACGAACACACGGACCAGGGGGAAGTCCAGTTGGGTCCTAATGAAGTCCACATCTCCTTTTCCTCTTCAGTCAGATGATCCTGGATCAGTGAAACAGCCCCGCTGGTCATAGCAGGACTGATCACAGATGCTCCTAACGCCGGCCCTCCAGTGGTTTTTACCATCTGTGAAAGAGAGAGTGGCTTCAGTCAATATCAAAGAGGGAGAGAAGCTATTAGATGAAACATTAGAAAGACTCACCAGTCCGAGAGGCAAAAAGATGGGATGGAGCAGCTCTGGAGCATTAGGCTGTGTGATGGATGACTTGAGACGGTCCTGCGTAAACCAGCAATTCATGTTATTTACAGTAGAATTCACTTGTGCATTACCAGAGTCACTAAGTGCTCAAATATGATTAGTTTAATCTCACCAGCAGACAGAGGGAGTACTTGATTTTCTGAAAGATGTCCACAAACTCTTCCTCTGATGGAGGCAAAGCTTTCAGGGTCAACAAATCATCTGTAGACAGAGGAGCACAGTCACAGCTTAACAGGACACATGAAACACAGCTGTACCATGATCACTGTTGTTTTACGGTGCATTTTCAAATTGTACATGTTGCTCTCAGTAGTGGTCAAGTATATTTAATTATCTAGAACAATTAGCAAGCAGCCATTTGTAATTTAAATGGCATTTTTAGGAAATAAATAATGTTAAAAGTCAAATTAAGTTCTGAAGTAAAGGTGTGGAGCGCTTGTTCCAGCAAGTACTCCCTACAAAGCTAAGCGAGTGACTAATAACACTTTATTTCATTAGTAACACATTGATACGTTTATTTGCCTATTCTTATCGAGGGTCACACCTATCCCATCATGCACTTGGAAACACCCTGGTCATGTTGCCGGGACAACACAGAGAAAACACAGATGGACGGACAACATTTCAATTCATAGTCAAACTAATTAACTATTTATATTGCGCAACGTTGAATACAAAACGTTCTTGTTTTTATGATTAATCTTCATGGGACAGTGGAAACAGCCCTGATGATAACTTGTTAAATAAACAATATTGTTTTATTGGCGCTTCTTAATGTCTCCTGGATTCACTTGGCTCGAGCCACAGTAACTTCTTTGTGATGTCACTTCTGCGTGATTGCTGCAGGCAAGAATTTTCAGAAATCCCGGAAGGACTTTTTGGCACTTTGCCAATTGACCTGCTTTAGCGTGTAAATAGTGAACAGTTCCCGAGTTTAACTCTTCTTCTGCAGCCCCAAACCACATTCAAAAAATCTCCAGCTAAGCACCCCAAATATTTCCTCCTCTGCCTTCTGATCTACAATTACTTAAACCTTCATTAAACATCTGAAAAGTCTTAATATTATCATTTAGGTTTGTTTCTCAAGACTCAGATGGATTGTCTATGCTAAACGTTTTTAAGCAGGGTATTTCTTCAACTCTGACCATCCTGGTTGAACCGTGACTGCAGTACAACTCTCACCATCTTGGCCGTCCTTCTTCTTCTTGCTCTTTCTGCTCCTGTTCGTCTTCCCCCTCTGGTTGAGAACACTCTGGGCCTCAGCGGTCTGCTGCAGGCGAGTCATGAACCGCTCCACATCGTCAAAGCAGTGGTTCATAATCTCCTGCAGAAAAAACACTGTATTTTTTTTTTGCCATTTAACAAAGCGAACTTCAGAAGGACCTAAAATTAGTTAACAGTTCATACGACTGGTCATTTAAGAAGATATTGGTGAGTTTAACAACATACAAAAACGCTGAAATATATCTATTAATTTCTTAACTGCATTTTTAACTACTGTTAAATATTACAAATCTTAATTTAATTATGCGATCACATACCAATTCCCTCTCTGCATTCAATAGAGATGTATAATTGGACTCCCCACTGGCACCATTCACTGAGGATAAGAACAAAGCCATTAAAGCAAACTTAGACATGCAACAGACACCTAACATGCTGTTTATTGTTGATGACAATCAGCAGTATAACATATGCTGAGAATAAACATATACATACACATTAGACAGTTAAAAATACCTTTGCCAAAATCACTGTAGACGGGCAGGACAGCAGGAGGCTGATCTCCGGGGATCATCATCACTCGGACCCCTGAGTGGTTCCGAGGGGCCACCGGAGGCGGTGATTTAGACATCTGTTGGTCTGTGAATGCAGATGGAGTAAAGTCAGACATTCAATAGGGGACACTGTTAAAGTGCTATCATTAAAAAAATGTTAGTAACACTTTCTAAGATGCCCAGGTTGACTGTCTTTAAGTAATCTTAAAAAATGTGTATTAAATCTGTGCAAGATCATACAAAACGTGACATTTATTATTCTATTTAACTGGTCGTACAAGAAATTGAGTTCTCCATTTGACTCGACTTTTTGCACCTGAAACTGGTAAAATGCTAAACATTAAATTAACTGCAGATAAAACAATTCTACTTTACCTGTATAATCAAACGGTGCTATACACAGATTATAACTAAATATATGTATGTTTATGATGCATTATAGACACTTGCTTGCAAGAAAATGTCAGTGGCAGTTATGAAATCATATTATTCTTAAGTCTTTGAAATGTTTTGGATTTTGAAAATTATTTTATTAAGTATTATTAACATTCAAGAGTCATAGCTAATACAGTGCTACAAGCAGATTAGGTAGCACTTTATCTATGTTAAAAAAACATTATAAACAGGGGCGTCATTGAAAGTGTCACCAGATTTTTAGATAAGTGTTTACTGGTATTTCAGCTTGGTATGTGATGTTTTACATACAACTTATTTCCTCCTAATGCGACAATATGTACTTTTATAAGTCTTTGAGAAACTTTGATTAACATTTTCATTTGGACTTTTATCTGAATATTGTAAAATAAAATGATGAATGAGAGTTTAATTATTGTCACATTCCTAAAGCTGATAGTAAGAATGCCGAGTATTCCTTCTCCTACGTTTAATTTAAGTGACACTTGCACACGACAGGAAAAACCACTGTCATCAGATGCATGGTATGCAGATGACACAACCACCAAAACTTGATTAAAAAGACTGAACCAGCTGATATAAAAGTTTATCACAAGTTTCTGCAAACAGATTGTAGCTTTGACATCTCCTTTGCTTATCTCCACCATACTTATGTAGCAGTCAATACTGCATAATAACTGTGGTTGTCAAAAAAAATGCACACTGCACTGAAAAAGTATGACATATTCCAAAGTATCAGGATGAAGTGAAGCAGCTTAAAAAGTGAAGCAACTTAAAAAGTGTCTTCTGAGCAACATATTACTGACACGAGCTGTCCTTCACGTGAAGTGTATCTGCTCCTCAAAAACACTCATACACACACACACACACACACACACACACACACTGTACGCACAGAGTCAACACATAAATCCTAGATACATCACTGTACCTTTTAGTGCGGTTTGAGTGTTTAAATCCAGGGCACGAAGACCAATCCTTGGGCTGAGTTGTATGAACACTGAGCCTGGCTGTTTACACGAGCACGTCCCACCTTCTTGAGAAATGCAGAAACAAGAAAAGCAAGTCTGACTTTCTTTTCGTAGTTAATCTGTTTCACTCACCTCTGATTCACACACACACACACTCCCTCCCATTCTTCGTTCTGCATCTCTGTGAGCTCCTGACAGGCATTTCTATCAACAACTGCCTGTGGCTTGTGGGGCTATAGTGATCTGCAACACATGCCATTCCAGAGATGTAATGCAGACTTCCTCAAACTCCCCACCTCCACAAATTCATCAGGTTTCGTTTGAGACCAAGCCGACATAAGGCTCAGGGTTTTTAAAAGCTCAAATTAAAATGTGTGAATAAAAAGAAATGTAAGATTTAACTTGTAGTTTAAATCATTTGATTTTAACGTTGCTTCCCTTTATGGCCAACTACCAATCGCAATCAATAATTAAACAATTTCTTATGTAAGTCTTGCAATTTTCTTTTCTCTAAATGCTCACATTGGCTGAGTGAAATCACTAATTAATTACACATAAATACAGTGAATAAAATAGTTGTTTTGGTAAGAAATATCTGAAACAATGTGGTTAAACTGCTGGATTTTCTTTCCTAAAATCTTCCAGACAACATACAGGAAGAAAAACGTTTTAAATAATATGTTGGAAGGTGTTGAAAAGGATGTTGGCAAAACATAAATATATACATGCTTAATAGCTAGTTTCTGATATGCTTTTTTCATTGAGTAAACACACCTAGATTAAACGCAACTTTAGCTAGACAAAGTGTTTTTTTTTCTGAACATTTAAGTAATCAAGGAATCAATCCATCCTATTTTAATCAACTTGCAGGCTACAGGAACTTAGATACTGCATGTTATTTCTGGATACAGAGCAGGGAAGATTAGTGAGGGAGAGCTGTGCTGTAGGTGAACAGTGACACCGACTGGTTGATTCGGGTCAGACTCAAAGCATCCCTGCATCTGTCCTGATGATTAACTGTGGCACAGCTCTGAGAGGTCTTAAACAGGTGGTCGAACTCAACAACAAAGAGGTCGATTGTAGAGGAGACATGGGAACACGACCGCAATCACTATATTTTCTGCTCCGTGCTTCTGATGTTTCCTGTTGGCCCTGCATACCGGAGAGAGTCACAATGGGCAAAATTTAAAAAAGTACATTTACTCAAGTACTTAACGTGAGTATTTACGTTGAATGTGTATGTACTTCTACTCCTACGTTTTTGAAAACCAAAATGTTACTTTTATTCCACTGCATTTATTATTTATTATCTTAAAGCTTTAGTTACTTTACAGATTCAGATTATAGTTCAAATATGACATATAATTATACATTTTAACATCAATAGTAGTATGTAAATAGTAAGTAAATGTTGTTTTGACTTGCACTTCAGGGCCACCGTATGACCTAAGTTTGTTTGCAAGAAATGTATTTCTATATCTTGTTTTAACAGGACATGCAACTTGTGGGGGTTTGGTGGGAAGCACACACCAGACTATTCCAAACACTTCCTCTGGGTGCTTCAGATCTTCTCTTGACTTTATGATGGTTACAGTCAGCCGAAAAAATAAACTGATGGGGTGTGGGCATATTTGTACAGCCTGTCCCTGTTATGGGTCACTTGTCTTCAGGCTAGATGCCCTGTTGCTCAGAGGATCCAGGGTCAATTACTCAAGAACAAAATAACATTTATTTGCAGCTGACTTTTCTATGTTGACTTTAACCTTGTTTAGAGTCATTTTTTTCAATTATGATAACAAAAGTT